TTTTTGTGTGGCTGTGCCGCGGACCGTCTGATCCAAAACGCAACGAGCGAATTTTAAAAAGAACAGGAGTAGGCGTTTACGTCACGGGAGGAGAACAAACAGAGTTTACCGCTCGGGTGATTTAGGATTATATTCGTCGCATGGATCACTTACTGCCGCTTTATCTAATCGGTATAGTACGTGATAGCCGCGTATTGTTCACAGGAGTTGGCACATTAATGCAATGTGTCCATTGGTCGCGTGAAAATATGAAGAGAGTCGTCTCCGGCGAACCATGTCCTGCTCTCTGTACCGTAATGATCGAATGGTTCTCAATGTAAGAATCAGGCTAGGTGAGTCGGGTGTCTACGTTTTTTTTATTTTTTATTATTTTTTTTTTTTGTGCCCCCCTTACGACGCCGGCATGGTGGTTTGGGGCTACTCGCGCGGGAAGACGAAAAAAAAGGAGAGGTAATATGGGAGAGGATGGGAAAAAGATTGAAGAAGACGTGGAGAGGACGTGGCGAAGGGGGGCGAAAGAAGAAACATCACGTGTGTGAAAGCGCTTGGGGGATGACATTTACATAACCCCCTAGGATGCAGCACGTAGCACACGACAAAGACAAGAAGAAGAAGAACAACAAGAACAGCAACAAGAACAACAATAATAACAAAAAAAAAAAAAAAAAAAAAAGACTCACACGGGTAGCTATGTACGGACCCCTCCATACACCCTGTGAAAATTTTACGTACATATACGCGCAGCGTTCATGACGAGAAGAAGGGACTTCAGTACATCATAATGCATTTTCGTTGACATATGCTCGTGTCTGATTTTTGCAAAAGGCATTATGATAGAATTTCCTGCCGTTTGTTCATCCGAAGGGTGGTAATTTTGTCTGTTTGTTTGTTTTTCTTATTACTCTTATCTGCACCCACACGATCAGGATGGTATGATGACCTTTTCCTCCTCTGTTTTTTAAGCTGCTTGTAGTACTGAGGAAAATAACTCCTCATCATGTCATCCCATATGAGCATTTTTCGTGTTCTTTCCTTTTCAGACAAGATAATATTTTCAATTTCACTATCGTAAAAGTCGGATAGCGATTCGTTGATTTTCTCTATGGATGTATCTGATGGGATGTCTACGGTATTGTGGGGTTGACTTTCCACTGCGTTGCAATTATTCTCGAAAAAATAATTAAAATCGGACAGGATACTACTAACATGGTTTATATCATCCTTGTGTATGCCATTTGGCTGATTGCTTAAATTATTATCTGATGCATTATTGGCATACTGTAGAATGCTGAAATCGTCCACTTCGTTTAGTAGCTGGCTTAGTTCCGAGTTTAGCGTTTCTTTAAGTGTGCTACAGTATGCCGCCTCCGGTTCATTGTTTAGGCTTTCCAGCCCGTCATCCATCTCAGGGCCATTAAGAAGTGCCTTTTTGGAGGGCGCATCTTTGTTATGATGAGCAGACATAAGATGTGATGTGTTGTCCCTTTCACTACCCAGAGGGGATAGACTCCCATCTAGGCATCCACCATTTGAGCAGCTACCATTTGGTGGTATCAACTTCTCGACACTAATCATCGGGGTGGTAAGGCAGGAGTCCAAATCGGAGAAATGATTTATGCTCCCTATGGACACAGTCGATTTGATTGCATGATGGTCAGTTAAGTCATTGCCCCCCTTTTTACCATTCCTTTGGTTGTTACTAGAGGGAGAGAATGGAAATCCGTCCCTTTGGCTGCCCTCCCCGGAGTCGCTGCCATCACACTGGGGATCCTTCGTATGCAAGGAGGAAATGTTCCCCTTTAGGATGCTGGACTGTTTCTCTACATCAATCGTGTTGATAATTTTTTTGGCTAGCTTATCTAAATCATTTCCCTCTGGGTTCTCATTGCAGATTTCTTCTACGTTTATTCCGCTGTTCGTTAGGTTGTCTCCATCATCCCCCGTTTGACTTTCTCCAAGGGTACTTCCACTGGGAAGGAAGCTACTTATGGTGCTATTTAACTCTGTGGAGTGACCAATTCCAGGGGGCCTACCTCCATTTACAATGCATCCCGTGGTGGTGGCGTCCTCCATACCATTATCGGCAGAGCGACTATCCAAGAGAGTCAAATTATTGTAAGACAATACATTATCCGCATCGTCCCCATTTGTGACACTTAAGCCGTTTTGCAGAGAGAAGGTGTCTTCGTTACCGTTGGGGGAATAGGTCTCATTGGTTAGGAGCTGCTCTGAATGCTTTGTCGATTTCGCACTTGCAGCAGTGCTGAACATCTCGTCGCTATCACAAAGGGATCTTACTTGATTATTCCTAAGCATGTCCTGTCTGAGCTTCCTCCTATTGGAAGCAATGACACAAGGAGGTAGTGAATTGGACGGAAGATCATTCAGGCGAATTCTATCAAAATCGGAGACCTTCATCTTAGCAGTACTGGTGTTCTTAAATTCGGATAATCGCTTAATGATCGTCGGGTTGGATATCCTCACTATGTTGGCTATAGTATTGGAGTGAACAAAAATGCCATGCATTCTTGTAGAGATTAACAGAGCGGCACCACATAACCCTGTGGGTCTCCTTCCGGTACAAATCCAGTCCCTTGTCATGGCCTGAATAAGCTTTATCCCTGTGTACGTAACTTTGTATATGGCATTCTTCAAATTTAGCTTATGAGCAAAGCGCTCTAAATATAGGGAAGGGTCTATATTCGGTACACTTATATGAAGCAATCGCAACAATTTGAGAAATGTTTTTCCTAGTGGCTTCACAGGGGTCTGTAAAATATCACTAAAATCGATTAGCATCACGGGAGACTTCTCCCTTCTACATATAGTATAAAGACAAGACGCTGCAACGTACGAGTTGTTTCTCCCCATAGTAAAGTTCCTTTGCAGAGCCATCAGGTAGATTCTTTGTGCTGATTCCACATGCTGCGTCGATAGGTGCAAATGGTCTGCTATTTTCTGAATATTTATGTATCCCTTCTGTAAGGATAATTCTCTGCTTTCGCGCACTCCCCAGGAGAGAATGAACGATTTGTTCCCACTCGCGGGGACGAACTGTCCGACCTGAGGTGGGGAGTGGGAAAAAGAGAGAAATCACGCCGAATGGGAAAATAGGGCGTGCCAATTGGGCATGTCTAGCGCGGCGGGTGCAAATGAGACGAAGCTCACCAGTTGTCGCTAACTACTTCCTGACCGCTACACGCCGCCCACTACACTCTGCCCCCTCCTTACCATCGAAATAGCCCCATTGTTATTCTCGAAGAACTCCAAAGATTCCACGATTTTGTTTTCCTCCAAGACGGACCCGCATCTGAGGCAGATTACCTCCCCTTGTCCTTCGTTCGTCTCAACATCCGTGCTGTGGCAATTTTTGCATATGACAAGATTCACTAAGGGGAAGAGGCGGGCAAAAAAAAAAAAAAAAAAAAAGAAAGGAACAATGTGCATCATAGGTTGAGCATTCGTTCTATTCTCGAGGGGTTTGCCCCCCGCTTGAGAACACACATGCATATGCAAGCGTACATATGTATAGGTAACTGCACATGTATAGGTAAATCCACACGTATAGGTAAATCCACATGGGAATGGCTTTCCCCTGTTTTACTTACTTTCACTGGCGGGGATTCATGAAGTATACACGGGTTGCTCGCAGAAGAGGGGCGGGGCGATTGATGTCGCGCCGAGGGGCCAAGATGAAGAAGGCCAGAGCACTACGCTCAGTCATCCTTCATCTAGCGGACAACTTGGCACGAGGGCCTTATCCCTTATGGGGCTGCCTCTAAGAAATTGGAAGTACTTATCCGTTCGTAGCACCTGCGCGTTGGAAGGCGCGGTTTGTTCCTTCTGACCCCGTTCGTTCGGCTCAAGCTCTACTGGGGTTCATCCTCTGGGCCTCTGCCACTCGCCTGCTCCTACTCTGCTTCTCCTGTTCGGCTTCTCCTGCTCCGCTTCCCCCTCTCAGCTTCCTTCTCGCCCTGCTCGACTCACGATACAAACTTGCTAAAAGTTCGCTACTCCATTCAGTGGCCCTTTACAATCAGTAAGCGTTAAAAGAAAAAAAAAAAACTAGGAAAAAAAAAAGAAAAAAAAAAGGAGTTTGAGGCGATATTTTTGAATAATCAAAATTTTGGTAGACGAAAAACAAGTTGGCTGTTTTTTTTTAATACATGCAAAAGTATAATACAAAGAAATGAAAGAAGATGCAAGGGAGTGTGATTCATTCGGATAAAAAATTTTATATATCTTATTGTATACCATCTGTTACATGCAGCATGTATATTTCTGCCTATCTGTACAAACTGGCGAACACGCGGTAGGCGAAAAGCAGCGCCCATTAAGACTGTTACTACCTCGGAGTAAGCTGATGAGGCTGAGGAATGAAGAATTTTTTCTTTTTTCTTTCTGCAGCACTGTGGTATACAAGTTGAGCGAGGATAATAGCGCGTCGAAAGGATATATTTTATTCCTTCTGGGAGTTTTGGCACTGATTAACTGTGCTGCTCAGTTTAAGCAGTTGGTTTCATGCCTGCCCAGCTGTATGGCGGAAAAGTATGCTGCGATGCTATGTACACTGCGTCGTCATCGCGACGTCAGTGCCTATTGTTCGCATCCTCTGTTCATGCCCGCCCCGTGCGTTGGCTTATCGTCCCCCCCAACTATGTCATTTCTGCAATTTTCCCATTCGCTGGGTTTCATCCCCGCGCCGTAAAGCTGTACTTTCTATGGTATATATTTTTGTATATTTTTTTTGTGGCAGTAAATTAAGAACGTGCCGCGTTTATGCGACGGCTACTGCTTCATCCCCGCTCGTACGATATATAATATAATACCTGTCATCGGTGCGAACTCATTTTTATTTTCACGTCCATCTGAGTGGAATCATCAGAAAAAGAAAATGTTATATTTTGTAACGTCGAAAAGCAGAAATTTTCCAACATGGGAAGAGCTGGAGTTGCCATGTTTGCAAAAAAAAAAAAAAAAAAAAAAAGAAAAGAAAAAATCACTTTTTTAAAATTTCCCCTTTTTTGTTTTTTCGAAAGTAGAGAAAAGAAAAAAAAAACTAATTCGTGTATGGCACCACAACAGGTATGTAAAAATAAAATAAAAAAAAAAGGGAAAATCTTATCTATACAAGTTTTTTCTTAATTCTCATTTTTTAAGTTATTTTTCCAATTTGAGGACATACGGGAAAGTGGAATTCCGCGACCCCATTGGCTGTTCGCAAAATAATCATTACAACTTCTGCGAGCAACCCATTTCGTGTGTCATTATGTGGTCATATCCACATGTTGAACGGCCCTTTCACAATGTCTTGTAGGTATGCTAATCAAATGATTCGTTGCACGGCCGGACGAAAAACTTCGCCACCGCGTGGGATAGGGTAGAGGGGTATAGAAAAAGGTCACTTGGGTATGTCAAAAGAACATCCGCGGTAATGTCCTACTAGTGGAATGCACATAAATACAAGGGGGGGGCGATTCTCCAAATGGATGGAAATACAAAAAAAAGAGGGGGCCAGCAGGGTAAGTGTCTATTCGTACATATACTTATATACGTACATAATACCCCTCATTGTATTATGGACCTTCGCACGGGAAAAAGAAAAACTCCGCATGGCAGTAGCGTACGTGGTCAAATTATCCGCACAACTAGTTTCTCCATGGCAGTCAAATGGGTGAACATACGTCACGCAAAAATGGCGGACGGGTGAAGCATGTGGGGGGCAGCAACATCACGCAATCGGTGCAAGTCGCGAACATGTGAATGGTCCGAAATGAAAAAAAAAATAATCACATGGTGTTTGAATTTTCCAAGTGAATAAGCACTTCTGCAAAGCGTCGCGTTCCCATGGCGCCGGTGCGGTTAATGAACGAGGGGCAACATTTATAACCGCGGGGGACAACGCGTCGTATAGCTAGCCTTATTCTTTCCTCCTCTATATACGAAGTGAAGAAAGATGGCGAAAATGTGCTCCCCATTTGGTACACTACAAATTGTTTACAACAATTGAAAAAGCGTTCCTTCATGCGAGGAAGTAAAAAAAAAAAAAAAAAAATGTCCCTTTTTTCATCCGTATATAGCAGTTATCCATTCATTTGGCGAGAGAAAAAATTCGAGAGCGGACAAACGCATCGTTTACGAGAAGGCGTCGCTCCCGCAGCGTCATTTGTCTAAGGATAAGCGCATTCTTCTGTTAAAAAGTAACACCTTTTGTGAGTCACCAAAACGATGAAAGTGCTTCCTCCTCTTCCACCCCCTGGGGTGCTGAAATTAGCTAATGCGTAACGCATGATCGCTCCGTTGGCATACGTCTTTGCGTCATTTCTTTTAAAACATTCCCACCTGCCTCCATCCTTTTATGTCATACAAGGGGCAGGAACAGTAACGTAATAGGGAGAGTATGTGTCGTTTTTACTCGTTTTCTACTCCTCTGGTTTGACCTTCAAGGGGGGAAGGATATTTCTTTTTCCATTTTTTTTCTTTTTTCCTCATAAAATTTTGAATCTGCATGCAAATGTATATAAATGCAAACCAGATGATAAATCTTCAGCAAGCACGAATGCATTCTTGCTGCCAGCCGTTTTCCTCAGAACCGGCTTATGCGTTACAGAAGAAAATGGGCACCTGAAATGATTCGAAAACCAATAAAACGGATGTTAATGCATAAATATCTTTTCTTTCCATTATATTTACATCCCAAATGCAGTGCAAAATTCCATTTTGCCTAGTAACCATGTGGCTGGTTTACGCCGCGCCATGAGGAGCCCTTTTTTTTTTTTGACGAGAAATTTCTGAACCGTACAGATGGAAAAGTTGCTTAACTGCAAGAACGAACACACTGATGGTTAAGTTTCCTCTTCACGCATTTGGCTTGTTCACTTTTTTTTGTTTTTTTTTTTTCATAAAAGGGAAAGTGTTTGCCCTGTTTGATATAGACAATGTGAATGTACACACACGTTGAGGGGGGAGAGAGGCACATGTGCTGTTTTACTTGAGACAATTATTTTTGGCACGAATTCACAAAGGGGTGGAGGATGAGAGAAAAAAAAAAAAAAGAAAAAAACACACGTTTTTTACCATTGTATAGCACTCATCACCGAATTTTAACGACGTCCAACATTGCTAATGAGATAACCACGCAAGCGTGTGAAAAAGAGAGTACACATGATGGTGTATATGTATATGCGCGTGCAAGTTAATATAGCAAAGGGGGGAGGCACATAAGTATGTATGTATAAAAATTTGAGCATATAAATGTTCCCGTCCAAGTATGTCAAGGAAACACCTCAATAGGGAAAGTGCAGAGAAAAGAAAGAAAAAAAAAATCTCCCTATTTGATTAGGACTCCATTTATTCGTCCCAAATGAGATGAGAACATACGATACTTCGTCCCCATTTTTTGTCTTCCATTTTTTGTGTTAAAATGTCTTATGTGTGTTTCCCCTAAATGCACTGTTGCCGTGTGTGCTTTGCTTTTGCAATATTTTTGCTTTTTTCAGCTTAACATTTGTGCCATACCGATTCGAAAAAACAAAAAAAAAAAGAAAAAAAAATGATTTCGATCGCAATATCACTGGCTTATGCATGTGCAAAATGTGATACCTGTGTTGGCAATTCTTTCTTCAAGGTGTTTTTTTTTCTTTTTTTTTTACTTCTTCTTTTTTATGGTTTTTTTTGGAACGGGCTTTTTCACCTTTTTTGTCGCGGATGGTTTTACTTTTTTCGTCTTGGTGATCTTTTCCTTCTTATTAATTCTGCAATGAATAATAACGAAAAGAAAAAGAAAAAAAGTGAATGTTAATGTTGCTTGTTAAAATGGCTTGCGCAGGCAACTTTTCGGAATGCCCATACTTGGAGGCACAGAGGAGTCACAAATTGCAACTGTTTATAGACACATGAGCATTTTTTTCTTTTATCCAAATGAGGCATGTAACGTGGAAGAGTATTTATTTATGGATGAATCATTAATTTACAAAGTTGCTCATGCGTGAGGGGAGAACGCCAAATGGTTAATTTACACTCACGGAAAAAAAAAAATAAATTAGAAGAAACTATCGCATGCAAAGAATGCACAGAGGATAAGATACATTCCGAGTAGTGGCACACAAATGAGCATAAAACATGGAGAGTAGAATCTTCCGGGAGACCACAATGGGCGTTGTGCCAACACATAAGTTAAACAGATTAGCAAAATGGAAAGTGTCGTTTGGGCATTTTTATATTGTTTTTTTTTTTTTTTTTCCAGATGGTAAGGACATTCCGCAGTGTAATACACATGACATAGCAGAAAAAAAAAATTCCCACATTGACTTGTGTGCAATCGTACACGTGAGCGATGCAGCAGTTGCACAGTCACTAAGTCGCGTCGCGCTACGCGGTATGCTTTATCATCTGTCATACAATTTTTTTGGTTTCAGAGCTTGTTTGGTCGGCGCAGCTGCCTTTCTCCTTGCAGGTTTTTCCTTAGTGGATTTCGTCACATTTTTAGTTGTTTTCTTTTTAGAAATTGCCTTTGCGCCTGCCTTTTTTGCAACCATTTTGGAGAATTGATCAATCTTTGGCTAATCAATCTGAAGTTGCCTAGTTGTCAAATTTGCGCGGACGCGCGGGGAGGGAAGCAATTGAACAGGGGTCAAACAAAAAATGGAGGAGAGAAGAACGCTGGTACGGGAAAGGTGGAAAATGCGTTGGAAAATACAAAGGGAGAATCCTGAACAAAGGGGGCAAAGGAAAAGTCAAAAGAAAAGGTGCAGAGGCGAAAGAATGACACAAAAATGACGCAAAAAAAAAACGAAAATATAAAACAAAAATGTAAAACGAAAAAATAACACGAAAAAATAACACGGAAAAATAATACAAGGAAAATACGCCAATAAATATGGAAAAATGGGAAAAAATATAAGCAAACGGAAATTGCAATCTTTGAGGAGGTTGGCAAAATGTTGAGATAATTATTTTTTCGAAGAAATCATTTCTTTTTTTTTTCCAAATTGGCTAAAAGGCTTTCAACGATACATGAGTAAATTGAAATGTGGAAAAAAAAAAAAAAATGGTGCAAAAAACTGACACTAAAAAATGGTGCAAAAAGATGGTACTAAAAAATGGTGCAAAAAAATGGTACTAAATAAATGGTACTAAATAAATGGTACAAGAAAAATTTCACCAAAAAAATGCACCAAAAATGACATAAAAAAAGGCGTGAGTAAAAGGGCAAAATATTGCGTGTGGAAAAATTGTCGATTGTCTACACTCAAAAGAGGATAATTGTTTTTATTGAAATTCCGGTGGCAAATGCATTTCTCCTATTCAGATTGCACAAATTTTGTCCAGCCAAAGATATTTCCACTTTTTCGTTTCTTGTTTTCTTCATTCCTTTTGCGTCACTGTTCCTTCCATTGGAGGCTCAGGTAATGGTTCTCATTCCTTATTGTTGTTTGATTTCCTCATTTGTTGGCACTTCACCGAGAACACAACAAATGGGTAGCGTGACAATGCATCCATCCGTGCTACAACCGGGCAGTTGTGCAAGCGTCCGGTTTCCCATGCCATGCCAGACGATGGATAAAAATTATATTTAGGTTGTATCCTTACGAACGTTAGTATGCCGCGTGCGCATGTGTATTGGTATTCCCCTGTCGTTAGCTTGCCCCGAAAGGATGTAGCAATGCACAAAACCGTACGCAGTGACAAACCATCTTGGTCCTGGAACCCTTTCTGTTGCGTTTAGGCAAGGTTTGCATGGCCCCGCATCCCCCTGAGGAGTGCACTCACGGCATGGAAATATGCCCCTCTATATATGTGCACATTTATGTAGTACTTTTTTTTTTTTTTTTTATTGCCCCTCTGAAAATTATGCATAAGGGGTGCCATACCATTATGGTGTTTCCAAATTTTCCTCCGTTTTAACGAACACAAATGCGCAATTGTGCCTCCAGAACAGAGCGATTCTTTTTATTTATTTAATTTTTTTTAAGCACCAATGTTTAGCATGGATGTTTATTTTCCTTTGTTTGATAATTTTTATCTTCATATTCTTTCCCCTGTTTAATTTGTTTTTTTTTTCCACCTTCAACCATTCACATCCCTGGTTTTATCATTCGGGACGAACCCAGTCGGGCCGAGTTTCCACCCATTATTTTGTTCGTGAAGCCAAGGAAGATAAAGAAAAATATATATATATATTTTACCATACTTATGCGGATCAATCATTAATCATACCTTTTGCACAGAATGGAAATTATCCAAAATGGAATGCAAAGGCCATGTGCCGAGTGCTGCTTTGTAAGAATCCCGTTTCCGCAGCATATAGTATAAAAAAAAGATAGCCGATAATGCAGTATGCCCTTAGTGTACACGAACCAACCGACGTCACATGAAGGTGCTAACTTCATTTCTATGAGTGATACCCCTTCTTTTTGCAACCAGTGTGTGTCACAGTTTCAAGGGGTCCGCTTTGGTGCAGTGAGGTTGGCAGTGCAATGAGGAGTTTCCTTTGCTTTGGTTTTTTGTATCTTTTGTGTGGCTGTTCATTTGGCTTAACTTTTTTGGCTTCACTTTTTTAGCCGTTTTTACGGCTTCACCTTTTTTTGCATTTTTTTCACCCCTCCCTTACGTGTGCATGTTCCCCATAGGCGTAAAGTCGCCTGTCGGTTCTTTAAAAATTGGAAAGCAGCTTTAAAACGTTTTTCACCTGTTACAGTATTTGTCACTATGGCTTTTTCGCTTTTTCGCCTTTTCACCTTTTTCGTTTTTTATTGTTGACCCCTCGTTAAAGAAGCGGCTATATATAATAATGCGCATCAGACGTGCACACAAAGATACGAATCGACTTAAAAAGGAAAATGAAAAAAAAAAAATTGCGCTCTGAAAATGGTAATGCTACATGCAGGGAAAAAGGGAGGAACTAGGCTCCCCTCGGTGGTCAAAACATTGAGGCATGCTTAAAATGGGCAGCAGAAGGGAGCAGACGGCAGCAAATGGAAGAGCCCCAAATTAATAAGCAAAAAATAAGGGAAATTAAAACGCCAACGGGAAAATAACACCGCGATTTAAAAAAAAAAAAAAAAGCCAAACTCGCCTAAACAGCCAATTACAAAAAACAAATTAAGAAGGAAAAAAAATTAATAACTATTCAGAAAAATTATCGCAAAGTGATTTCCCATTTTCGCATGCGCCCCTCTGCCCATTCGCACACATGCCGGAAAAGGCTAGATCTTCAAAAGGGCCTTAACTGAACTTGATTTTCCCCAGCACGGAGTCGATTTCGCTTTCGGACGTTCGGTCCGTTAGGCCTTCGATCTGGCGCGCGAAAGGGGAGAAGAGAAGGTGTGCGCATAAAAGGGGGGATTAAAAAAATGAGCAACAAATGAATGCACAGACAAACGCACAGACAAACGCACAAACAAACGCACAAACGATTAAATTCCACGTGCACAGAATGCCCTTTGGGCTCACCTTCTTTACTTTATCCGCGGGAATGTGAAACTTGCTGCCGTTTTGCTTGATTGGGCATATGCTGAAGCGGGTGGGGAAAAAAGTTACACGCAATGTGAGCAGCACTCAGAGAGGTCCCCATCGGGGACAGCACTCGCATGCGCTGGGCCATATGTACGAAAATATTGGGGAGAGAGCAGGCGCATGCCCCCTTCGAGCGCATTACTTGTCCAGAACGACCAAGGCCACCCTGGCCGTGCACTTCATCTCCGCACTTCCTCCTGCGGTACACTAAAATGGGGAAATGCGTTAAAATCGCGTGAATGTCTCAGTAGGATGAAGAAGAGGAAGAGGAAGACGAAGGAGAAAAAAAACAAAACAAAAACAAAGAGCTCTCCAATCGATCACACCCATCCGTGAACATAAAGACATTCACTCCGATGGGCGAAGCTATGGCGCGCCGCGAAAGCCAACCTCCACAAGGGCCTCTATCAGCTTGTTAATTTCCTTAAACTTGGAAATGTTATCCTCAAATTTGATTATGACCGCGATCAGGCACTTGAGGCATATCAGGTTGTACGTCTTTTGCTTTCTGCGAGGGGAAGGAGAAGGGGTCCACACCGTTTCTTTGGAGTGAGTCATAAGTACGCAACACGCCAAGTGCGCCTAATTAGTTCTACGGCCGAGCGCGACACTCATGCGGAGGGTTTTCTCTTGCGCCTCGCCGAATTTCTCCTTACGAGGTAATTATCTTCACAAAGTGCAAAATAAGCTTGCTCTCCGTACACGAGTTGCATATTGAGAGAAGCGCATTGTTCGCAGCGGTGCTCAGAAAGTCGGTGGACGTCTGGTGGGCCTTTTTTAAACACGGGAGGATAACATCATCCAACGTACTATCCATTCTTTTTTTGCCAATGGAGTAAAATTCGGACAAACATAGCAACGCATTTTTGGACACACAAGATCGGGGACTATTTAGAAGCTCAATTATTGACCTCGATATCTTTCTTAACTCCTTTCCATGATTATCAAAAAATAACTTGTGGTAATATTTTAAAATTTTTCTTAAGTTAATTAAATTTTCAATTTGTTTCGTCCATTCCTGATCTTTGCTGACTTCTACCAGCTTCGCAACCATGTCCTGAATCGTCTCTGTATCCACTTCGCATTCAAAATCGGTAATATCTTCATACGATAGGTACGTCACCGCTTTGTCATTTTTTATCTTCGAGCTGACATTTAAATTTTTCGGTACACTCTTATTCGTGGCTTTATTTGGCGTGTTATTTCGCGAAACGCTATTTGTTTCTTTCTCATGGGCAATTTGCCGATCCGACACTTTTAAGTTAGACGATATGCTCTTTTCGTGGCTTACGAGGCTCATATTTGCCTTTACATTATTAGGGGCGTTTTGCAAAGGTATGGCGCTTCGGTTGGAAATGTGCAAAATGGAGTGGAGCGGTTCCTGCTTGTGTGTAGTTTTTATTTCCTTCCTGCAGATGGTTGCCTCATTTGCATCCGCACAGGTGCTACGCAATGGAGAAAAGGCAGCATCTTCTTGGGGGTGGAAGCGATTGGAACCCTTTCTTCCACATTGAATCGCGGGAACCTCTTCCTTGGTGTGATCTTCTTCAGGCATCTTTTTTTCACCATGTCTTTCTCTCTTGTAAATCACGCAGTGGCCGTCCATCTGTTGGCACTTTTTGGGAGCGTCACGTGTGGGTCCTCTCCGCTGGTCATCGCATCCCACGGCCGGGTTGTTCCGCTCACTCGCCCCGTACGCTCTATTCGCATCCTTCGTGTCATCCCTGTTGGCACTCCCTCCTCGCATGGCATAACTGTAATTCTCAAACAAATTCTCCCTACACGTGAGAGCACTTTTTTTAAAAGCAAGTTGGCCCATCGAATTGGAGATTTCCTTATTTTTCCTTTCACTTATTTGCCTACTCGATTCGTCACACACCACAGCTTCATCCCTCCACTCGGGTGTCGCCCCCTTGGGGAAGTAGCCATTGTTTAAGGTCTCTTTCGCCGACCTATTATTTGGGATGGTAACTTCTTTCTCTTCGGCTTCGTACTGGAATGCTTTATTTGGTTGGTTGGTCTTATCCCCCTTTTTCATGTCAACAAATGCTGGGATTCTATGTCCATTGGAGAAATGGCCACATCGCAACTGAGCGTCGTCCTTCACACCAGATCTCTCCTCATTCGATCTGTGCACATTTTGATTATTCGCATTCGAGTCATCCATTTGGCTTGCATGCATGTCGTTGTAATTCCGTCTCGGTTTAATGAGCAAGTGCCTTTCTTGCATTTTCCCTTGGGTAGAGTTATTTAAAGGATGTATATTTTCCTTTAAAGAGATACCTATTTTGGCTTCATCACTGATTTTCTTGAGTTTTGGGTCATCAGAGTTATCTGCAATTCGCTTTTCTCCCTCGTGGTTGTCACTGGTGATGGATACCTTTGGTGCTTTGGGACAGGCGGGATTGCCCTTCTTCAGTAGGGTCAGCTGGTACCGTTGCTGCGGGGTGGTTAGAGAAGGTGTCAATGGAAGGAATAAACATCCATGGTGAGAAGGAGAACTCCGTGAGGGGGGTCCTCTACCAGAGGTTCACCCGTCGAGCGGAAATGTGTATGCAAGAAGGGAGGAAGGGGGAGGCTCTCCTTAGACGTGAATCGGCGACGTAAGGGGAAGGTAATAATAGGTTTGGCAAAAAAAGGGGAAAAAGGAAAAGGCAAAAAAAAAGGAAAAAAAAGGAACAGACGAACAGACAAGCTTACAATTTCGTTCAGGGGGGACTCTAGGCTGAGTTCATCGGACGTGCTAAAATTTTGGTAATTCTTAGCACTGCTCGACTCTTTTATCTTACGCTCCACATAGCTGGTATTCTTCACTGCGTTGAGACCTATGGCGCTGGTTCGAGTTGAACCAAGTTCTACATTAACAAATAGATTATCGTTTTGGACATTTTGCGAATCTTTTCTCTCTTGATTTAGGTAGAGTAAATCTTCAAAAAGAGAACATTCATCGTGCTCGTCAATCGATTTCCTTTTGTAATTTCTTGCGTCTGTGGTGGGGCGTGGGAACGATCGAATGAGTATCGAGGGAATTGCTTCACAATGGAATGTGACTGTCCATATGTCATTCGCCATTTATGTTCCTGTTTTAACAAGGCGACATTTTTATACGCCTCGTCCCCCCCCGATATTGTGGGGTGCTGTAATTTGTGAAGTAACGGGGGGGAAGGGCAGGAATCAAACTCGCCATGTCACAACATTTGTTAATATTCTATTATCGTAAAAATGTGTATAGTACCGTCTATTAAAGTGCTTGTGTTGTCTCTATACTTCTTTTCCCCTATAGTAGGCATTTTTATTTCCCTCCTGTGTTTTTTTTTATCTTTGGATAAATGTTATAAGTTGGCCCGCAATGTGGAGAGACGCCAAATGGGAAGCGGCAAGTGGGATGCAGTAAAATGGGGGCGGCAAATGACAAAATGGTCAAGTGACAAAGTAATGCTATAATTTAGGATCTGCGGAAAATGAAATTTCCAATGCCTTAAACGCGCAATAAACGACAAAATGGCACTGTCGTCAGTATTTTTTTTTTCTCACATTTTTATTTTTTCCCTGGCGTATTAAAAATTTTGCACACACTATACAGTAGGGATATGTATGTGAACATTTTTATGTTTGGAGAATTGCTTAGGCATATTTTTATGTGGAAATGGGAAGAACATTTTTTTTCACGCCAATGTGTATACATGTGTTAATATGAAAATATCTATATATGTATGCGTATATATGTACACGTATATATGTATGCGTATACATGTACACGTATATATGTATGCGTGTATATGTATGCCTACATATCTATGCGTATATATGTATGCGTATATATGTACATGTATATATGAATACGCATATATGTATACGCATATATGTATACGCATATATGTACATATCCAGGTAAATAAAGGAAAAAAAAATTGGCACTGCTTCAGAAATGCAAGTGTAAACTTTACGGCAAAAAATTATACGAGCCAAAGGAGTTAAGGTGTAATGTTTTACTCTCAGCGGAAAAACTCGATTTCGTTAAATGCACAAGGGGGATAGGGAAATATGGTTGAGGAGTCCCTGGGGCGGACTTTCGTAATCGTCTGGCGTTCATATGACACCGCTTTCCCAAGTTAAAAATGTGCATGGAAAGGATGAGCGTTGCATCATTTGAGAATTTTTTTTCTTTTTTTTAATGTGAAAGTTGGGGTGGCGCGGTGTGTAGATCGATCAGTGGGGGGGAGGCAGTGAAGTGGAATGGGTGTGATTGGGATAAATCCACGTGCGTTAGCGAAAGTTGGCGAACAAAGGAAAGCAACTAAAGTTAAAGCGCAGCTAGCAGTTGTGCTCCAGGAACTGCTAATAAAATATGTCAAATGTAACAGACCCAGTTTTAACGTCTGTCTGAAGGATTTTTTTTTTTATTGAAAGGGACAAAAACATATGGGAGAGAAAAACATTTTGTATGTAGAGGGAGACCTACAGCAGTGTACCTTTTTTTTGAAATAACCATTTTGATTGAGACATTTGATGGGCAACTTTTAAGACATAACAGGTTTCCCCGGTGTAGTGACGCGGAGCTTGGTGTCCACCTCAGACGTGACAGCTGAACAGTTGAATGGGCTGAAATTTGTACACCCCCAAATGAAAAAAAAAAAAAAACAGCTATTTCTGTGCTACAGAGATTAGATGTGAATAATATATTTTTTTTTTTTTTTTTTATTGCCTATTTAGGCTGTTTTCCAAATTAGAAAAAAGCTTTTTCAGAGTTTTAAAATATTTCCCAAAGGGTGAGCGCGCTCACGGCGTAGGCTTGCATTTACGTGACTATTTATTATCAATTTTTTCTACATTATTTTCCACTTCGAGCTGGAATAATTTCCCTCCGCAAGTGACCAAAATGACAAATTGGGATTTTTTTTTTTAAATTATAACCCTTCCAATCCGCGTGGTCAGCTACAGAGGGGAATATGACTCAATTCTATTTTGAAAAATTAAAAAAGAAAGTTACAGCACTGAAAAGGGCAAAATGATTCGTTTTAAGTTGATTCGGACAAATAAGCCAACACATGCAGAAGGTACACACTGCGAAGAGGATATACAAAATGTGAAGTGCCACTTTTTTTTGTCGCAAAAATCAAGGTCATGCGAAGTAGCCAAAAAGACAGATATATAAGCCCAATTTTATGGCTGTGCTGTTCATATTTTCAAAGGTAATTTTAAGGCAGTGAGCCAAAATGCAACATGCAAAAAAAAAAAAAAAAAAAAAGCTCTGTGTGATTAGCAGAAGAATGGCATCTATAAATGCAATGAACTTTTAATTCATTTTAAGGATCATCTTTTCACCCTTGCATTCGAAAAAAAACAGCGGTATTTATTTTTTTTTTTTTTTAACCCATATTATTAAGTAGCTAGCTAAAATAATGTGTGCATGTGGACGCATATAATCAACGGCGGTGATGAATTCCACTCATTAATACAATGGCTATTTGAAAAAAAAAAAAAAAGAAAAAAAGCTAAATGTTAGCTCAAAAATGATGAATTAAGTCCTCACGATTTCGTTTCCCTTCGTTTCTTTTGATTTGCTTTTGATTCGTTTTGATTCCTTTTGATTAATTTGATTTCTTTTGACTTAATTTGATTTCTTTTCACTTAATTTGATTACTTTTCATTACATTTCAACATAATTAAACACACATCAGTTTGTTTCGCCCCTTTCACCCTCTTCTGATTTGATTTAATTTCATCTTTCATGACGAACGAAAGTGTCTTTTTTTCTTTTTCACCTTTTTTTTTGTGTTGAAAACTTCGAAGTAGTTAACATTCTTGGTTATCCGTTTATTTTTTTCTTTTTTCCACTTGCACACATTTATATAATGATGCAAACTTCTTGTGGACATTCACTTTCACCGAATTAGTGTTTCGATTTTCCTTCACTTGATATGATAGCTTACATATTCGCAGCATTTTGAGTTCATTCACAACATATGCTTTAACCAATGCTTTAACCGATGCTTCAACCGATGCCTCATCTTATGCTTTACAATTTACGCTTTGCCATTTAAGCCTACGCTTTCTCCCAACAACATTGACAGCGTTACATTTTAAACCCATACTCCCCCGGTTTTAAGGCTCTCTCCCCCTTTTGTTAACTTCATTTTCAACCCAGCTCTTTTCCGCATCTCCAAACATGAAATCATTTGTGTGTTACGTCGGTCTTATCGTGGCCTTGGCCCTGCAGCTGCGGGCCATCCAGCTCAAGTCTAACACCCTCAACCCAATCTCATACGTCGAACGTAAGCGCGTATATCATCGTGTATATAAGCGGATGTATCAGCCGATGTGCCAGCGGGTGTACTCGAGGGCGTCAAAGCGGGTCGCCTCATTTGTTTGAGCTTCCCAGCAAAGGTGCCACAGCCACGCAGATATACACACTTCCAATTTAAGTCGAACTGGACAGAGGAAAAACAAATTCATTTCCGCTTTTTTCAATTATCCCTCTCTTTTTGCCCCCTCCCCTCACCCCTTTATAGTTGGCAACCAACTTTCGAACAAAGTTGGAACGCTATGGAAAAATCAGTTAGACTCATTCATAGATGTCGTGTCTACCAAAATTGTCGACAAATTGGAGAAGGATATACCAAGCGGTGCAGCAGCGGAGAACATGATGATTCTTCTAGAGGTAAGAAGCTGAACGTGTAGTGAGCAAACAAGTGTATATGTGTATGTGCTTCAGTGTGTGTATGTGCTGCTGTTTGTGTTTTTGGTTGTGTGGAACTATATACACCCCGCTTTGCCCGAACTTAAATCCGCTTTCCTTATATGCATGCCTCGTAACAATAGCCGCTTTATTTCTCCCCTTCCTCTACCCCTTCGTTCGTAGAACGATGCTGAGCTCTTCGACACGGCAGCATATAAAGGACATAACATGGCACTCATCGAAGACCAGTTTATCAGAAAATTGAGAGAAAGGTTCCACAACAGCAAATTCGGAAAGGGTTTAAAAAAACTGTCATCGAAAGTTAAGACAAAACTAACCGATTTGTACAAACAGCACAAAGATAAGGTGAAAAAATTCCTGAAACATTTGATGACTGCTTTGGTCATCCCAATGGCAGTTAAGTTCATCCAGAAACACCTGAACTCGTGGAAACAAAAGACGTTACAGGCGACCGAGAAACTTGACCCTGAAGCAAGAAAGGTAGCCCGCCCAGTTATAAATGAGCTATACCAGCAGTTTCAGGACAAATTGGAGGACTACGCTGAGAATAACAAATTAAACGGCGGGCAAGAGAAGAACGTACTGGACAAACTGCAGGCGGAGAAGAAAGAAATTCAGGATATCGAAAACAAGGAGCAGAAACTCTTGCAGCAGTAGGGGTTGCGTACAGGTCACAGCATAGGCAACAGATGTTGCAGTAGGGAAAAGAAGTAAAATAATAAAATAACGCGCAAGGTGTGGAACGCGCAACACCGTCCCGCCATCAGTTCTATGGCATAGCAACTATACCCGAGTTACTCTCAGCGATGCGTGTGCTATAGGCATTCGCCTTAACGGAGCGACGCACGGGGGGGTTATTTTTTTGGTAATTTTTCGCCCACCTGCCCATAGATGCGTCAATTGATCCACCCATCTAATCCGCCCATTTAATCCGCCCATTTAATCCCCCCACCTGCACACACGTTTCCTTTTTTTTGTTTTTCTCACTCCCCTCGCGCGTGTCCCCCTCCGGCCTCCAATGATACTCATTTTTACGCAGCCGTAAGGGGCGGTAAACGGGCTTCTATGCACGTGGGCACTAAGCATACAAGGCACACACACGCATATCTATGCTCCTATACGTCTGCGCAGCGAGCGCGTCCGTGTGTGGGAGCGCACTTCCACCCTACGAAACCATCCTTTGTGATTTCCACACATGCGAGAACGGGCTGTGCTGCGAGTATGCACATGGTAACCCTGTGCCAGTACTCGGACCGTCACTTCACCACTTAAAATCTGTTGCTTTCGTGTTAGTTTCTTTTTTCCCTTTTGCCGCGTCCGCGTGGCACTTTCCATTTTTTAATACGTTTTTCTTTTCATCAACTCAACTCCATTTTATTTTAATGTAACTCTGATTCAATGAATGAGCGAATGAGCAAATGAGCATTTTGGCAGGAATTTCAAGCGCACGCAAAACTGGATGTTGGGCGGCAAAATCGACTTTGGCGTATCTGCCAAATGGACCTTTTCGCCGATTCCAATCCAGCCCCTAAAGCAGGCGCGGCATGCATATACCGCCACGTGAATGGTAAAAGGCGAGATCGCTTTGCATTGTGAGCATATTTAGCCCTTACCACCTGAAAACAGAACAGCTCCTTCCTGCTTTTAAAATGATCGGCTGCACGGAGGCGAATAAAAATGGGAATTCAGCTTTGTCCACTTTTATTTGTGTAAAAAGAAGAAGAAAATATGCAGCGGACATGCTTTCCCTTTTAGGTGTTTTCCCCAGCACACATTCCGTCCTGGGCTCCGTCTGGTGTGTTGGGGCGTGGTGCAATAGTCGCGGTGTTCTATTATTTTGGTATTTTTTTTTCTTTTTTTTTTTTTTTTGAGCCTCTCCCGCGGGCAGCACAAAAGTGAGAAAAACAAAATGTAGCATCCTGTGAAGGTAAGCGCCATACACAAGAATAAGGACTCCAAAAAGGGTTAAGCAAAAATATTTGTGAAGAGGGTAAAGAATCAAAAAGGCAAAAAATAAAGAAAAAGAATTCAGCGCATTCGTTGGACTTTGCAGCTTAAGCTACTGCCCCTAATCTACATACAATTCTGTACTGAAATAATTTTTTTTTTTTTTTTTCTTTTCTAACAATTTAAAATTTGTGCATAGCTGAGGGTTAATCAATTTTCAACATGGCAGAAAATGAGGCCATTAAGGAAAGATCTTCGATGGGGAATTTAAGTAAAACTACGAAGCGGTGACACATGTTTTTTTGCGGCAATTTCTTCGCCTATTTTTGTGGCAATTTTTCTGGCCATTTAGGGGACAAAGTGGAGGCAATTTTGCGAGCGCTCCACGCTTGTGTGCTATCCGACTGTGGAGGGTCAGACGCTGGAGAAGAGCCACACCGGGGGGGGTATGAGAAAAATTTGCATAGACAGCAGCGACGTATATCTACATGCCCCTTTTTGTTTTACACTCTTGCAGGAAGGAGCCTAACAGTGAGCTTGTATTTCATCGGAATTTGCACCGCGTCGTGGTTCATTTGTACGACGAAAAGGAGGAAGGAGTGGTAAGCAGGGGTGGCAGACATAAGGGCGAACCGCAGTGGCAAACATATGGGCAAACAGAAGTTGTGCAGGGGTGCGTCCGAAGAGGGGCAGTTCCCACCGCTAACACAACAGTCGAAGCAATCGGGCGGGTTGCCAACGCGGCAAACACATAAGTTCATTTCTCTACCCCATTCCAAAAAAAAAAACATCTCGTAGGGCTGACATAATGCTGGATTACGTTCATCACAAAAGGTGTTCCTTCCTGTCCAACTCATGGGAACACTTTTTGAGGAGACTCAAGTCATGAAGAAGTTTAGTAGCCGCATGTAATTTTGCTCTTTCAGAGCGGTGGCAATGTGCATATTGGCGGTCAAAGGGAGGACTGGTAGTTATTTATCTTTTGCATTATCTCCATTTTAGGATTTTTTTTTGTTTTTTTTTTTTTTTTTTTTTTGCTTTCCCCATTTGGTGACCACCTGGGTGAGGAAAAAACCCCGCATACTTCACTCTTACAGCATTACATGTCCTTGTATTTCTAACGAGGACACTAATCTTTTACAAAACCGCTAATGTTTTAACCAATTAGGAACACAAAACTATAACATGCTAGGCATTGCGCTTTTAATGTTTTATGCATTAAAAGGGTAGAGGGGCATAGGGCGGTGTTGCCTTCCTACAATTTCGCTGACTCAACACGTGGTATAGAGGTTACGCTTTTTTTGGAGGCTGAACGGAGTGGTACACACATCGAAAGGTGTTGATGTGCCTCTGCATTTTATGACCAATTGGGGACTATCCGCAATTGAGTCTTTTCCTTTTATGCAATGTTCCTTTCACTACGTGATAAATGGTTTAGATGAAAGGGTTGGCCTCGATGTAGCGAAAGAATGAGAGAGCGAGTAAACAGACAGCACTTAGTTTTTTACACGTTTGTTGAAATGGATAAAACGGTGCACTGGTTCAGGTTCCATAAAGGGTCTGTGTTGGGGGAGAGATCACATGTCCCTCATTGTTCGTACAATGTTGATTTTTCCTTCTTCTTTTTTTGTGGCCCCCCATCCCCTCAGCTACAATATATTTGCGTTCGTTAAGGCGTACATGTGCCGCGATATATGCGCTTAAGCACATACACTAGCATGCGCATCAACATGTGTGCTTCTTCACCATTTCCTTTTCTTTTTCCACGCAAACTGGGATGAGAAGCGCACGAATGTTCTGCGTCAGCGGAAAGTCTTTTTTTTTCCAATCATTTTTTCATTTTCCCCCAACGGTGAATTTATTCAACTTTTCAAGAGTAGAAAAATCTGTTGACACAATTTATGGAGAAGAATTTTTTTCTTTTTTTTTTTTTTTTTTCCCGCCTAGGTAACCCCGCAGCGTTATAACTATTTAGCCAAAATGTGAAAGAGTACCCCTTCCCCCGTTAGAAATGCATATCTACACTGTTAAAGAAAAGCAAAGGACAGTTCATCGGTGAAGATGTTCCTTTTTAAGCTAACGAAAGAGGGTACCATACATACCCCCTCCTCCTTGAATAAACCCTTCCTGTGTAATTTTAAAACGAGCAAAAATGTCAACATCGGCAAACTGATAAAAAATAAAAAAATAAAAAGCCATGAATTAAACAAGATAGAAGATGTGGAACTTCTCTTACAAGAGAGACACCACGACGTTTTTCAGAGTTATCCAACAATTAAAAATGTGCACAAAATTGTTGACGTGAAGAACATTCCTGTTTTTAACAAAAATGAAAATCCGGACAATATCTTGAGCAAAGTTGCTCTTCACTTTGGAGGTACACCTGGTTACGTTCTTCCACACACAGGGGGTGTTATCGCCCTATGTTGCGTCCCAGCGGAGGGGGGAGTTTCGCGCGCATACAAAAGAGTGTCTCGAAGGTGGACGGCAACCTTGCGGATGTATGATGGGAACGTGAGCGCATGCGCCCATGAGCATACGTCTACGCGTAACCATTTCATTCCATCTTTCCTTTCACCCGTTTGCAGACTTGTCATACCTGCGAGGCGACGCAGCCGTGAACGGAACAAACGACATTTTCGAATTGACGAAGGAAGGAAACGGCTATGACTGTTCAGGCAATTTTTTAAAAACATGTGGAGACGCACTCTTCACCGAAATAAAAACTGCTCGAGAGCAACATAAAGGAAAAAACATATTCATAACAAAAGGGCATAACAGTGCATACAAATGCATTATACATGTGGTCGAACCCTACTATAACGAAACGGAAAAGTTAAGAAAGTGCTATGAGGACATCCTATTAACAGCAAAGATTAATAGCCTTAAGACGATTGTTTTCCCCCTGCTTGGCAGTGGTATTAGCCTGTTTAAAAGGCATGACGTTGTTGTGTGTTGTTTAGAAGGAATTTACGAATTCTTGAAGGAAAAGAGAAATATGAATTCAATTGACAAAGTTGTTTTGTGTACAATCACAGACTCGCATTGGATGCTGCTAAGAGATTCCATACCGCTTTACTTAAACGCGACAGTAAAGTGAACGGCCACATTCTGTCCGATCCGTTGTGTTCGAATTTTTCGTTTTTTTTTAAATTTGTCTAACAATGCTTGGGACTCTTGACTAGCCAGCTAGCTATGTAGCTAGCTAAGCGTGATATTTTTTTTTTATATTCTCCCTAAGATTACCTACACCGTTCATATTTTTTATTTTACAACTTTGCTTTTTAAAATAATGGATCTACATCGAATAGGCGCATTCTACTCGTGCGTAATGGTGTATTATGTAAACGTCAGAATTTTGAGCTTTTACGTAGTACCCACCTTGTCCTAAAGTGTACAGGATCCATATTGACAATATTAATGTGTTTAAAAAAGGGGGGGGCTGTACAAACGAATTGGAAAAAATCTTTAAAAAAAAAAAAAAAGGAGATATTCACCGAATGGCGCTAGCTAACGTTGCGTAAAAAAAAGAACATTTTACAACTTATTAACTACTTTCTAGTAAAAATAAAAAACATACGGAGGGGAGTTTCCTAAGAACAGGTTCTGCGTTGAGAAGCCATCGTTTAAACATTTCCACCATTTTCTTAATTTTTGAAAATTGGTGTGCATCGCTTCTTTTTTTTTTTACCTTTTCGAGAGTATGTCACAGATCAACAGGACGGGGGAGGCCCCTTTTGGATATGTTCTTTTTAAACGTTTCATGGGCTTCTTGCCAGATATTTTTGAAGGACGTGCTGCTGCTCCCTGTTTTGTTCATTTCTTTGCGAGTTGGCAAACTGGATAAGTTTATTGGCTGATCATCTTTGAATAACCCTGCCCACCAAACGTGGAAGCCCTCAAATTCGTATTTTTTTTTTAAATTAATACATAAAAATGTTTCTTCCTTCTCGATTGAACTTTCTCCAAAGTTGAATTGCAAATTTTGATTATTCACTTCATTAGCGAGATGGAAAATTTCCTCCCAGTTGATTTTTATGTTTTTTATTTCCCATAGTTGGGTATCTTCATCATCGCTTATCTTAAAGGGGAATGACTTGTCAATTAGCACTTCCTCATGATTGGAAGTGCCATTTGTGCTTTGTGCACTTGTAGTATTTGTTGTTTCTCCCTCCTTTACAACCTTTTTAACAACCATTTTATCTTCATGTATTTGTACGATTAGCGATTTTGCTTTCGTGTGCAATGGCAAGGCAATATAAGCATTAATTTCCTGTATCGACTGATTCCATATGTACTTAAACGGAACGACAGCTCCGTTTGTTATCATATTTTCGAGATTTCTTTTATTTTTCAAAGCATCCTGCTCCTTATCCGTTTCAGCAACACAATTTTTTGTCTCCCCGACGAATTCACTTTTGATGTGTGCTTCGGCATGTTCCTGAACGATGCTTCTACACACATCTGCGCCGTTTATTTCTCCATTTCCATCTTTCAAAATGGTTAATCCGCTAGGCGACAGCACAACTTTGTCCTTCCTCCCTAGTTTTGTTAGTTGAGGCTTCCTACTTTTCCGTTCGTCGTCTGACGAGCTCACAACGATCTGGTCAAACTTGGAATAATTGATAGGGCTGCTCATCCTGTGGGCATAATTCTTTTTTATTTTCTTCCCGCTTCTCCTGTGGGTGTTGTGTAACGCGTTGCTTCGGTAAATTCTGCGTTTTAAGAGGTTTTAGCGGTTTCTACGTTTTCTTCCTTTTCTGCCTTTTCTGCTTTTTCTGCATTTTTTCCCAGTGTCGCAAGCTGCTTCCAGCACGGTGGCAACGTGCAAGAATATTTGCGCTAAGGAAGGCGCGGTATAAAAGATCTATTTTGACATTACAATTATGCTGAAGTGGGAAAAGTGATGTGGGACCCATTCGCAAAGGATAGCTGGTCTGGTCGCTTCGTGCCCATTTCTTTAATTCCTTATTCCCCCGTGATGCCGCATTGCAGTAGATATATTTTTCCGAGCGTTATAGTTGTGTCCTGTTAGTTTTGCAAAAAATACGGCGCCAATTTTTTTCCGCAAAGTAAAGAACGAGTGAGGGGAAGTGCTAAAAGGTGAAGGCGCTTTCCAACCCTATGCGAACGAAAAATAATGTATACTTCGCTGGGCATATACGTAAGTGTTACACGCTCGTTCGACCGCGCTTATCCCCAAGCTCTCACATATGTTACCTCACGAGCAACGACGAGTTCGCTTTCTTCATCAATGCGAAGCGGTGTGGTATGCCAAACGAGCAGTTAAAGCAGACGTGCAGTTAAGCAGACGTAAAGTTAAGCAGACGTAAAGTTAAGCAGACGTAAAGTTAAGCAGACGTAAAGTTAAGCAGACGTAAAGTTAAGCAGACGTAAAGTTAAGCAGGCGTGCAGTTAAGCAGGCGTGCAGTTAAGCAGGCGTGCAGTTAAGCAGACGTAAAGTTAAACAGACGCAGATCTGAACGAATAAATTGCACGCTCAAGGTGCGCTTCTTTTGTTATGAGGCCCCACCAATGTGCCACTCCGTGTTGAATTCGTTGGCCCCTCTTACGTAACTACAGTTCGTCCGTCCAACGAAAATGTTTACCCCGCTTTTTTTTTCTCTCTCTGCGCTAGCTATCTCGTATGCTATTTTTACCGCTTAATAGTTATCCCTTCTTTGTTCCTTCGTCCCTTCATTCCCTTCGTTCCCTTCGTTCCCTTGTTCCTTTTTTTTTTTTTGCCGCTTCGCGATTTTACCAGTCGTTCCAGGTGCGTGAAACTTGGTGAAAAATGCGCCAGGGGTGGGGAGCTGCGTATGGAAGGGAACACGTAAAGAAGGGTCCCAAAAAAAGAGTAGCACATCCGTCCGTATGGAACCCTTACACGCTGATTCGCCGAGCATACATGCCACAACCAATTATTAATGCCCCGTGGGGGAAAAAAGGACAGAGTAACCCCCTTTGAGACCTGACGGGCGTGTATAGTGCCATAATCACCCAAAGTGCAAACGCAACTAAGAGGGAGACCCCAACACCCAGGAAGATCCCCTCCCTTTTTTGTGGAGAGAACCAAAATGGGGGACATATTCTTCTACATGGACGAAATTGACAATCTGTTGGAGGACTACAGGAAATTATTAATCGATTTGAAAAAAGAATCGGAACGAAATGATGAGAAGACGACGAAAAAATGTTTAGACGACATTCACTTCCTCAATGAGAGAATAAAAACAGCCAAGGATGCTAACTTCATCGAGATGCGTAATTTACCTGAGGAGGAACAGCATACTTATATTTTAAAGATAAAGGGGAAAATGGCCATTCTGGAGGATCTCAACATACAGTTTGACTTTCTCAAGAGTAAAATTTTGTATGCACAGAAGGAAGCTAATCGAATGAAAGAACAAAATAGGGTCAAGTATGTGACCCCCAAGGATATAAAAAATAGAGGGGACTTTATTCAAGACCAAACGGAAGAGTCCATTTTTCGAATGAAAATGATGGTAAACGAATCGGAACAGATAACCAGAGATGCTGCAGTGAAATTGAATGAACAGAATGAAAAACTTAGAAAGGTAAAGGACAAAGTGGAAGACGTCGATACGAATGTTTCAAGTGCAAAGGAAACTTTGAAGGAAATAGCCAAAGAAGCTGTCACCGATAGATTTGTCCGCTTTCTTTCCCTCCTCATATTCATCGTTTTGATTATTCTCATTACGGTCATTTCGATTTCGAAGAAGAAGTAAATTGGTGGAGGGGACGAGGGGCCTGTCCGCGCTGTGCTATACATGTATCCATTCATTTGTTTATTCATTTGTTTATTCATTTGTTTATTCATTTGTTTATTCATTTGTTTATTTTATGATTTTTTTCTTATTCTTTTATTTTTTTTTTTCCTGTTATCCCTTTTGGTGAGCTATCACCCTCGAGTGTACTAGACATGGCGAGTAGGTGTGCCTTCTTGTCAAGGCAGGGATTTGCGTGTGGACCTGCCGCTGCGCTTATGTATAAATAAGCATACTTCCGTACATACATATGTTTGCACATTTGGAGGTGTATCTGTGTATTTCCCCCCAGCTTCTGCATGACATTTGGTTCCCCCCTGCCGGTTTGCTTAAAGGAGCCACTTGGCCATTTACGGGAATTCCCCCATTTAGTAAAAAAGGCAAAGTTGTGATACCACGGCGGGATGTGACAAAAAGGGGGTCGCACAGATTTCGTTTTCATTTTGAAGCTGAAAAATATCTCTCGTTTTTTTTTTTTTTCTCCCCATTTATTAATTTTCTTACTCATTTTTTAATCAAATTTTTTCCAATTCCTTCCCACTTTTTTGGTGTTCTTACGCGTGGCACACGCCACAGTGCTGCCCCATTCCATTACAGGGCGAATAGGGTGTAATGACTTTTTTTTTTTTTTAAAACTTCCTATTCACAACATTTTCAATTTAGCATTTCAATTTGACCATTTTAACATCAACGGGCTGGGGCCATCCTATTAAAACACATGATAAATTTTTAAGGAATGAGGAGTTAGCGATTAGGGTAGATTGGCTATCTGGAGAGAAAAAAAAATGCGTACAGCGCGCTAAAGAACACTCTACCTGTGGGGGTACTTTTTATTTTTGACAGAGTACGCGTACGCATTTTGTATCATAATTGGCCTATGGTTTAGAATCGGAATGGGTGCAAAAACGCGTACACTAGTGTACGCGGAATATATACGTGCTTGTACGCGCATGTACGCCATGTACGCATTTGTGCCTACATGTGAAGCGTGCGCTTGGTTTTCTTCCCCGACGTTATTACTACTGTACGCGTTTTACGATTTTAAGCTTGGAGCATCCATGGGTCTGTCCACTGTTCATCCTCGCTGGTAGGAGAAAAGAAACAGGCAAAATGAGGAAAAAAGTGACAAAAAGTGGCAAAACAATCTTTCATAGACATATGTACTGGACGCACTTTTGTGTACGTTATTTCTCATTTGTGCTTTCTTGTTCGAGAGGGGGAAAAAAAAAAAGAAAGGACGCCATAGTAAAAAAAAATTTCGTTACTTCGTAGGGTACGCATTTTGCAAAATATTTCTCGTGCCGCACCACGTCGTATCGTCTATTATTGTAGGTACCGTAGCGTACTTTTTTTTCCATGCAATGTGATGTAGGCATACTTTTCTGTACGCATTTTTTCCTTTTTTCTTTTAAACCTCTCTTATGTTTCTACGTGGTTTTCTCATGCGAGTACGCGTTTGCATCGATAAATCACGACGAAACAACATACCGAAATGCTTGTCAAAAAAAACAAACAAACAATAGTTAGTCGCCAACTCGTTGTAGAAGATAATTCAATTAACCCAATAAGAATACACTCCAATTGAAATAAAACATAAAAGCAAAATAATCAGAAAAACCAAATGTGTGTACTTTTGAAACTACGCATAATTTTGAAGATATGCCAAATTTCATATTTATATTCTTAAGCATTAGCATGTATTGACCTTTTACTGCTCATGAAATAGCTTTGTAGAGAAAACGCCGGGATTCTTCAAAAGCCTTTCTACACCCCGCCGTTTAGCCTGTTATACCTTCTCCACAGCCAGCAAAGAGAAAGTGAAGCGTTTTAAGCAAAGTGAAAAAAGGCTAAACAGCCAAAAATACCCAAAAGATAAAAACATCCAAAAGATAGAAATACCCAAAATATAAAAATACCGAAAAGATAAAAACAACAAAAAAACAAAAAGAACGAAAAAAAACAAAAGAACAAAAAAACAAAAAAACAAAAAAAAGAAAAAAAACAAAAAAAGAAAAAAAGAAAAAAAACAAAAAAAAACAAAAAAAGAAAAGAAACCAAAAAAAGCCAAAAAAACCCAAAAAACCAAAAAAAGAGAAAAACAAACACAGCAAATCTGTGAAAGCTGAATAAAGCAAAAAATTTCCTTTTCACCACCACTTGTAGAAGGTGAATGTGCACATTTCTCCCGCGTCAAGTTGAATTCCATCGTTGACGCGAAGAGCTCACCTTGTGTAGCTTTCCTTGCGGGGTACAAGAAGTGTACTTCTACGCCATTCCTCCAACTGTTTAGCAAACAGCGCCAGGGTGTGTGGCTAGCGTCTATTCGAAGGTATCCCCATAGAAGTTTCGCAACTGCGTCCCGTGCCTACTCGTGTGCGTCGCAAGCAATCAATTGGGGGTCACTCTCGGTGGAAAAAAGAAAAAAAAAGTGTAGTACGGTGTAGTGTAATATCGTAGTGACTTACAGTATCGTAGTGAACTGCACTGTCCTAGCGAACTTAATTGTTGTATCGAACTGCATTGTTGTAGCGAACTGCATTGTTGTAGCGAACTGCATTAATTTAGCGAATTTCATTGTTGTAGCGAATTTCATTGTTGTATCGAATTGCATTGTTGTATCGAATTGCATTGTTGTATCGAATTGCATCGTTGTATCGAATTACATTGTCGTAGCGAACTGCATTGTCGTATCGAACTGAATTGTTGTATCGAATTACATTGTTGTATCGAATTGCATCGTTGTATCGAACTGCATTGTCGTAGTGAACTCCATTGTTGTATCGAACTGAATTGTTGTATCGAATTGCATTGTTGTATCGAATTACATTGTTGTATAGAATTGCATCGTTGTATCGAATTACATTGTCGTAGCGAACTGCATTGTCGTAGCGAATTGCATTGTCGTAGCGAACTGCATTGTCGTAGTGAACTGCATTGTTGCAGCGAACTTCACTGTAGTGTAGCGTCCTCGTCGTAACACCTACGAAGGCGTAACAACAGCGGAAGCGACTTCTCCCAGTGGATACAGCTCGCGTAACGGCGCTTCGGGTTATCGTAACTGGTAGAACTTCAGCACCAAGGATGGAGAGAGAACCTCCCAAGTGCGACAGCTTCCCGGAAGGGCCGACTCCCCAGCAGGATAGAACAAGTACCAACAACGCTGTCCGTAACGTAGAGGAGCTAACCGGGAAGAAGCCCCTAATAATGCTGGAACAGGAGAAGGAAAACAAAGCTCTCACTAACTATGACAGCAAAATGGAAAAATACGCGAATGGAAAGAACGTATTTGGACAAAATAGGGAAGAAGCGATTGACGTTGAAATTGAAGAAACAGCGACGTTAAAAGTGGAGAATCACTGCAATGATGTAGCAGGAAAGGTGATGAATGGTAGCGACATACACATTAACAGCGGAAGAAGGAATCAGAATGATTACGACACCCTATGTAATAGGTATAGATCTATGTACGAGGTCAGAACTCATAATAATAGTAACGGAGTAGTGTATCCTCGACAAGTGTCTGCCCCGTGCTTTATCTCGAATGACTCTCAACAGCTGATTGGTACGAATGGAAATACAAGTGGGCTAAGCTTTAATGGGAACTTAAGTTTTTCAAGGCATTTTTTGAATTGGGAACATGCAAATGCTAACCTTTGTAGAAGCTACACAAACTGGGAAGAAAGGATGAACCGAATTTGGCATCCCCATGATATGTTAAGGTGGAGGAACCCTGTTTTGGAAGGCGCTTTCACAAACTGTGGTTATCTAATCAATGGGGGCGGAAGAATCAGATATGGGAACCGTACTATTTTGCGCGAATTGGATCCACCGAGGGTGGAAGCAGTTGGAGAAGTTGCTGCACTTGGTGGAGGTGGTCTATATGGTATTCTTCATGCAGACCATGCTGGTGGTGAGAGAAACGCCATGCACTCTTATTTTCTTTTCCAGAATTTCATCAGGGTAATGAGGGCGCGCCAAGATCCTTTTGCGCAAATGGGGGGACAACAAAGAAGCGAGTGGGGCAATATCCAGGCAAGGAGAGCTCATCCCTACTGTGTTCATACGGCACATCGACTTTGTACAAATCATCCCCTCTTGGAGGATAATTTAAACCTACACAGGAGAGGATTCATGGCTAACCATGTAGCTGATATGGACCACGCTCTTATTGGACCAATGCACCGACAAATCAGACAGAGGACATGCTTGCATTGTTGCCGAGAGAGACTACTTAACAGAGATGCTAACGTAGGGGGGGTTCATATGAACCAGGCACACCTGCGTCATCAAAATTTGATGAGGTCGGATTGTCAGAATAAGAAATGGACCTACCTGAGGGTAACTCCACATTTGCTGAATCTGGACAATCCAAACATCTGTACACATGCAGTGAACACGGATCACATGTTTGTTTGTCCATGTAGAAACAGGCTACGAAATTTAACAATGAATAGGACGTCGAATATCCCACCACATGTTGACGATGCCATCGTTTCGGAACTATCCAGAAGGTGTTACGAGAGAAGCACTTTGCCATTAAGAGAGGGGCCTAACATAAACAGGGAAGTAGAAGTGGGAAACCACGTGAATGCTCACCCCCTTCCGGGTTCTCTCCACGTAGCAAACCAGGACGGCGATGAGAACCATTCTGGAAGGGAAATGCAAAGAGGCACTGGCAGTGGAGAAGGCCCGTGTGGGAGAAAGGAATGTGTTTCGTGTTGGTCGCTCCCGCCCATGTCCAGCGGACAGGTAATGTCCCCCTGCGCAGGGAGCGATGAGACGGAAGAGGACGGAGATAGTAGCGGCGTATACTGCGAGGGGAGCGACGACCAGACTGAGGATAGCGACCAGAATGAGGATAGCAATCAGAGTGAGGATAGCCAACAGAGTGAGGATAGCCAACAGAGTGAGGATAGCAAACAGAGTGAGGATAGCCAACAGAGTGAGGATAGCAAACAGAGTGAGGATAGCAAGCAGAATGAGGATAACAAGCAGAGTGAGATGAAGCAGATCGTAAAGAATGGGCGAGAGAGGGGGCACCCCACCCAGGAGGCTTTCCACAAACACAGCAAAGAGAAGACCAACACGGAGGAGCGCATCTTCGTGAAGAAAGAAACGGGGAGCCTATTAAAAGAGGAGAACAAATTTTACCAGAACGAGGGACTGTTCAGAAATTTTGTCTTCTCGTTTAACAACCCGCCCCAGGGGGGAGCGAGAGAAGAAAGAAGCGAAATGGGTGAGAAACTCAATAAGGGTGCGACGCTTGAAAAGAGCCCAACGAAGTACAAGACGCTGAAAAAGGAGAAGAATGCCCTGCCAAACAGCGAAAGGAGATACGAAAAATTCGAGGAGATATATTTTTCGGAAGACCAGATATCGAGTGAATTTCAGTGGATAGAAGTGGACGGAACTATTACTTCTCACGCGCAAGATTTCTTCTTTTTCGATGCCGAAGACGAGCAGATGGTTTCTCTAGATGTACTCGACCACTACACGGTGAATATCAGCAGAAGCGGGAGCAGCGACGACAGAAGTGGGAACAGAAGTAGGGATAGACGCTACGACCTCCCTCGAGACGGAAGGAACCGAATGCACCAAAGGGGAGGCTACAACGGATATGGCACCACCCTCGTCTCCAAGCAGCAGATGAGGCCAACCCCGGAACCGGAGTATAAGACATGCACAAATGGGACAAACAACAGAATGGAGAGAAACAAATGGAGTACTGACAGGAGGTATGCACCAAATGGAAGCCACCCAAGTAGTGCACACATACGCGAAAGCGTGGATAACGTGGAGCAGGTGGCCAATGGAGAGAGGTCTCACCATGCAGCTCTACCAAAGGACAGAATCCAAGGAAAGAAAAACAAATCTGTAATCATGTATGCGAAAATTATGAATATAAGTTTTGAGTATGGTGCGGATGTCCTGAAGCAGTTCAGCCACCCCGCGGTGAATCTGTTTAATACGAACAAGACGCACATCGTGAAGAAGAAGGAAAAGAAGAGCAAGGAACTATACGCATACTTGGATGGAGAGGACGGGTTCGGCGAGGCTCCTGAGGTTGGACATGCGGCGGGACATGCGACGAGACATGCGGAGAGACATACGGTGCAGAAAGAAGTGACGGAGCAGATGGTAGAAAAAATGGCGCAACAGATGGAAGAAGAATTGGAACACCCCGGGAAAGGAACAAAACGCAAGTACGGAATGAAACAGGAAGATCCAGAGAAAAGGAGAAAAAAATTTATTAGCCACAAGATTAAGAGACACCTGCTCTGCATGAAGGCGAGGATCGTAATAAAGGAATGGTACATTGATTATGGAATGTCTCCCAGTAGCACCCCTTACCTCTACGTAGTATCAGAAAATGACAATCGTTACAAACTGGATAGAGTGCATCCTAAATATGATTCCACCTTCACGAAAATGAGACTGAAGTTTGAAGTGACTACTAGGATAGTGAAATCTCTGCAGGCCTATCCAAGGATGACATATAAGGAACTGGTGGGCCACTTAACACTGTACGAGTGTATTAGTAGAAGAATGAGGAAGGCAAGGATGGAGGGGTTACTGGAAAACGGAGAGGTGTCGTCACCCATGTGGGAGCAGCGGAACGGGAAGAAGCAGGAGAAGATGCAAACGAAGCAGACGGAGAAAAAGCTGACTGAAGAAATATGTACATCGGAGAGTAGCGAAGAAGACGATTCTCCATCATGGAGAATACACCCAAATGATTGCTACCCTCTGTCGGATGAGGAGCTTTCCAAAGGGGAAGAACCTCGCCAAGACGAAAAAAATGCAAAAAAGAGAGAAAAAAAAAAGGAAGAACAACCCCCCATCACAAGTATAAGCTTGTCCCAATATAGCGGCACAGGTGTGCACACCATGCCAGATGGAACAATCAGCAAGAAATGCACATGGGGGGCACCATACGCTGTGTACAAGTGCAACAGAAAGGTCATTACGACATTGTACAGATTTATTAAAAGCGAAATGAAAATATTAGCTCATTGTTTCGAGATGAGGTCTCTGCTGTCCACTCCTTTCATGAAGACCCTGGCACACAAGTTTAAATCGCAGAATAGGAAGAAACGACATATGGAGAGGTTAAGAGGAGTCTCCTCTTTTTCTATGAACGAGGAGCTATGCTCGCACGTTCTTCTACACTGCCCCGAGAATGGACAAAACGAAAGCTCTCTGACCAAGAGGACTCGCTTTTACCTTATTAGAAGCTTCGTTGAGAGCCAAAAGGGGAACGTAGACAAGTATGAGCTTTCATGTGCATGCACGGATCAAGAAAACACAGAAGAGAAGGAGGAGTGGGATAGCCAACATCAGCTTCTGGGAAACCCCAAAATGGACTCGCCCAACGTATGTCCACACGGAGGCAGAGACACAGAAAGGCCATCCCTCGAAAGGGCAGAAAGAGACACGTTACGAAGTCACAACCAGGGGAGCGAAACGGCCGATGGGGAAAACCACAAAGCGGAGAGTGAATGAGAAAATGAAGCGAAGAATGAAGCGAAGAATGTAGCGAAAAATGAAGGGAAAATGTAGCGAAAAATGAGGCGAAATATGAAGCGAAAAATGAGGCGAAAAATGAGGGGAAAAATGAATCCAAATGGATCATACTTCCGCCAAATATTGCAGTTGCTACACCACAGGTGAAATTTATTACCCCCTTCACTTGATTCACCCCCTGAAACACGAATTCATACTTAACATTTGGGTATTCCTTTGGACATATAAACAAGTGACACATGGCCATATAACCGATAGCCAACTGAACCAGGAAATGCTACCAAGGAGGAGTACCTTTAAATGGCTCGACGAATAATTGGAGAAAGGATACTCCTCAATGGGCATCTTCACAAGGGTGAGAAACCTGTGTCAGGTCTCCAAAATATCTGTGGTGAGAAAGAATGCGTCACGTTAGAGGGGGTACCATGTCCTACAAAACAGTATAGCTGTAGAGATGAAAGAATGAGAGTAATCCTGCTCGTAATATACAGGTCGCTACGAATTGATCGGCATAGAAAGAAGCTACTGCATGGTGGGAAGCCAAAAGGGTGCTCTAACAAGGGGGGGTGTAGAGGCCGAACTGGTCCTCTTACGATATTTTGGACCATTTGGGAGATCCTCTCCAGAGTAAAATTTAAAATGTACCAATTAGGAGATCCTTCACTGGGGGTGGAAGCCAAGGAAGAAGTGAAGATAACATTTCAGCGGAAGAAGAAATTTCGCCATGGAATGCATCGAGAGGGGAAAATGAAAGTACAGAAAAGGAGGGGAATCCCCCCACAGAAGCGTACAGTGTGCGCATTGTAGAAAATGCCATCAACCAGCCAAGCTAGCGAAAAAAAAAACGCCAACAAAACGGGGTGACAAACACCCAATGCTGAGCAGACACATGAAAGGTAAACACATAAGTGTCTGTCCAAACGAAGAGGAAAGATGTCGGAAACACGAAAAGAATGCCCCTTGTCATAGTGAGAATATTATCTTCCACCCGTTTCTCTGTGTAATAGAAAAGCTCCTCTACTTTGTAAAAAAAAAACCAAATGGTTTTGAACGAATGTCTACGGGAAGAGATGAGCATGCTGCTGCATAGCTGCATCCTAATGTCCATACAAATATTCGTAAAGGAGAAGATAATGAATAATCTTAGTTTTATCTTTACGCTGCCTGTAGATCTCATGGATTATATCGAAAGCTTCTTTTTACGCCATCCTTATTGTTCTCTTTTGAGGAAGAAGTGGATCGGAGACTTGCGAAATGCCTGGCTTAACCCTGTGTGGTCCCTGAGGTGCCAATTTTCACAAGGCCTCAAAGGCATAAAAGTCTTGTATATACAGCCTACTTTGTGCTTTTATTTTAACTCTTTTATAACGTACGGGTTGGAGGGGAATGCTTATGCACATGTACAGGAAATACGGCTTGACGGGGCTGGTCTCTGAGTTAGAGGAAATCGCCGCGTGGCCGAGAGAGGACACCCAAAGAAACACTCAGGTATGCCCGGAAAATTGTTCCCAAGACGAGCACAAAAGCGACGTCCCTAGCGAAATATGCGAACTGTTTCCCTACAAGGTAAACAGACAGACCAGAAGAAGCAGAACGGTCTACGAGAAAAAGGCGCAGACAACAAGTCCACTCAATGAGGAAGAGGAATTAGCAAACCAAGGGGAAGCATCAGAAGGGTATCACATAGACTGCTACACTGTGCGGGAAGGGTTATTCAAAATTTGAGGAAGCATTGGAAAGGGAAAAAATGTGGCCCACCAAATAAACATAATACATTGTATCTCAACACCCTGGAGTATAGAAAACTGTTTGAGGCACAAATTTGTAGCAGATTTTGAGGCCCCAAAATTGGCACACTCGTGGATGTGAAAAATGAGCTGAAGAGGAAGGCACCTCTTGGGGAAAATACCAGCAAGGGAGAATACCCTCAGTGGGTAGCGACAACTCAGAGGAGATCTTCGTCTATGTGTGCCCACTGCATTGCGTAATTATATCCGCCTGATCATATCCACTTTATCACCTAGAGGAAGGCACTGAAGAATATATGAGGAAGCTAAATGAACCATTCGTTAAATGCCAAAGGGTACACTGTGGCTCAGTGGAAGTTCCTTACTCTCAACTTATGCTTTACCGAAAATATGCACACTATTTTTTATCTTCCCGTTCGGCCCATCGGATTTTTCATGACCAATGGTGGAGTACTGCCATTTGTCGAGGATGCTGGATGACCAAAGAGACTTAAAATGCTGAGTCATATGAACCTCTTAACCGGGGAGCGTAGTTGAAGGCGGCTAACTTGTGTGCACATTCCGGTGCAGCAGTGAGGGCTCGTACAAATGCGAAAGATGAGGAGGTCGGGAAGAGGGGGAGGAACTGCAAAGGTGGTGGTGGCGGGGATTATTCCCCAATTTGTGGCCACAGGAAGCGCACCATAACAGAGCGTAACGGCTTCCATACACGCACACACAGGTGTGGGTGTGCCCCCCACTGTTCATTTATAGGCCCCTATTCTCACTCTCTCTATATATACATATACATACATATATATAGCCATTTCATTTACTGCCCCCTCTTATAGGGGTATTTATTTTATCTATTATTTTTTTTTTTTTTTTTCTACATAGTTAAAGAACTCCTCTTAAAGGAGAAGCAGCAAAACGTTGAATAAATGATGCCACGGGCACGCACCTATGGGCGGCACGCTTATTATGTTAAGTTAGAGCTGTCCCATCACAGCAACGTCTGTCGTACTTCTTACGCGCACCGCCACCCGGACGGTTAATTAACGCTGGGGGGGGGAAATATATCCTTTCGCTCAACGTAGCGACGTAATTTTCGCCCAATTCTGAATTGGGGAGGAAAAAAAAAAAGCAACTTCTGCTCCAATGGCGAAAATGAAACGACATTTTTTTTTTCTTTTTAAAATGGAGAAGCGGAAAGAAAAATCGAAATGAATATAATAAGCGTGTATATTTTTTTGGAAATAAAAGCTGCGTGACGACATGGAGTCATATTTTCACATTTTCTAACGCCACGGCAGGGGCCACGCTGTATGACGTGCTTCCCCAAACATGTTGAGGCAGGCCACATTGCATGACGCGCTTCCCCACAAATCTTGAGGCAGAAACGACGGCCCTGTAATTTTTACGAAAAAATGTGGCAAATAAAAACACTTCAATGATTTAAAAACGCCAACAGGAGAACATTTAAGGAGATCCAGTTGTGCAACAATTGAGGGAGAAAATTATAGGAGAGGAATAAAAAAAAAAAAATCTTGCGCTTTTATTTTCCCCAAGGCAGTCCGCCTACTAAGCGCAGTTTAGCCAAATTGACATGTACCTCATATTTTTCCCTCCTTTAACCCTACCTCCCCCCACGTATGTTCCGCACTCGTGAGAGATATGCTTTAGAGGTAGAAGCATGTATCGTGCATCAAGTTACCTAAAATTGTTCTCAAGTGTATGCGTCTTAACGTTTATCCTCCTGCTTGAATGCCATCACTGTGCGTATGAGACGGAGAATAAAAATGTAGACCTCTTTTCGGAGGCGCACGAGCTGCTTGACCAGGGCGAGTACGCCAAATCGTTCGCCTTCCTGAGGACATGCGTGCACTACGACATAAGGTAGGCCGGTCGCATCATCGTGTTGTGCGGGTGTGTTAGAGCATCGTGTTAGACCAGCGTATTACCCGAGTGTCTTACACCAGCGTGGCATTCCTACGTCGGCTAACCGCGTCTGATCAGGCCACTTGGGCAGCTAACACCGATAACGCTCATAACGCGGCTTACATCCCTTACACCGCTAACACCGCTAACCCCTCCGTAGGTGCCTAACGCTCAGTGGAGTGTTCTACTACCTGGGACTGGAGCCCGTGGAGAGGGACGTTGTCAACGCGCTGTACATATGGAAGGTGTGCGCAGACTACGGCAGCGCGGATGCGCAGTTCAACCTGGGGATTATGTACTCGAATTATTTCTCCCTGCCAAACTTGTACTCATACTATGTGGAGGAGCCGCGGATAGAGGATACGTTCGTTCTGCTCAGAGTGTACCTCCGCTTGGAAGGGGTCTATTTGAGGAGGAGAGTAGTCTACTGCTTACGAGGAGGAGGCGTTAAATGCCAGGTGTGGGATAGAGAAGAAGAAGAAGCGCAGGACAGAAACAACCCCAGTGAAGAGGAGAAGACTTTTCGAACCCCTCCAGTGGTGACACTCACAAGGAAGAACAAGCTAATTGTGAAGATAAAAAATATCAGATACAACATAGATGAGTTGAAATGGTATTTTGACGAAATAGAGAATTTCCCGAATAGGGATTACCTGGAAAAGAATGGAAAGAGATTAAACTTCAGAAGAAATCATAACTTAAGTTTGCTATACTTTTACAGTAGTAGTTTGGCTAACCATCCAGGAAGTATCTTATCCTTAGGAATAAGATATATGAATGGTTATGGAGTGCAGAAGAATTGCGAAACTGCATCTAGGTACTATCTAAAGCTAACAAACGGGATCATCAATGCAGATAATAGAACCCATTTCCAGATGTCAGACTTGATTAAACTAAACATACCACATTATGATCACTACAATATCAATAATAAGAAAATCAGAAATATAGAACTGTTTTTGGAAACCTCTCTACATGACAATCACAGAATTTTGACTATGATCGCACGTAGGTACCTCCTAGGAATAGACGGGGTGGAAAAGAATTACAAAAAAGCACTCGCTTATCTAAGCAAAGCGGCAAGGTATGATAACTCTGAGGCCATATCCTTATTAGGATATATTCATCTCCTAGGGTTAGGAGTACAAATTGACTATAGGAAAGCTACTGATTATTTTATCAGGGGGAATAAATTAAAGGACCCTCTAAGTTCTAATGGGCTAGGCTATATACACTTCTTCGGATTGGGTATTTTTAAAAAGAATCCCCAGTTGGCCTTTTACTATTTCGAGTTAGCTGCAAAGAGTAGCCTCTCATCCGCACAGTTCAATTTAGCCTGCTTATATTTAAGTGGTGTCGGAATTACCCAATCATTCCATAAGGCTTTCTACTGGTTTTATAAGTCGCTAAATAATGGAAATGTTCTAGCTGCGTATGTTATAGGCTTTATGCACTACAATGGGATCATCAGCAACCGAAACTGTAATGTAGCCTTGTCTCTGCTTGCCAAGGTGGCTGAAAATAACTCCTTCATTCTGAGCACCTCCAATAGGATTATTCGATATACAGAAAAGGGCAGAATGAAGGAGGCTCTGTTTCTCATGGCGCAACTCGCCGAAACGGGCAACGTCCAGGCTCAGATAGGCATATCTCAAAATATTAACAACGCGCAGTTTGCTCTCTTCTTACCCCCCAATGATAAAGCGAAGAAGGTTTATGCCAGCAGGTTCCTCGCTATGGCGTCAGAGAACAACGACTTTAAATCGCTTTTCACGCTTGGAGATTATGCCTATCAGGGGCAAGGCTTGTACGTCCGCATATTCCCCAAGAATAACTTGCCCTTCGACGCGCTTTACGACGTCAACGGTGATGAGTACCTCTTCCGCTCTGGCGCGGCGAAGGAGGGGAAGCAGCCTAAGCAGTCTGACGAGGTGAAGAAGGATAAGCAGCTTGACGAGGAGAAGAAGGCTAACCTGTCTGACGAGGAGAAGAAGGCTAACCTGTCTGATGAGGCAAAGAAGGCTAACCTGTCTGATGAGGCAAAGAAGGCTAACCTGTCTGATGAGGCAAAGAAGGCTAACCT